CATAGCCCGACTATATAAACATGATCGCGGTCAACCGGACTGTTTCCTATTATAAAAGTTGCTTAATAAGCCGACAATGAAAAAAAAAATTCATGTCTCGGATCGTAACCATTATTGAAGAAATTTTTTTTTGGTTATAGCAAGTTCGGAAACGGATATGGCTACAACATTTGTGGCTTTTTTTAACAAATCCGATGAACAATTTTACATGAACAATTTACGTGAACAATTTACGTATGTGAGAAATTTATGTGAGCAAGTTATGAGAGTAATTATGTGAGTTTCGATTGTCTTGGTCGTAAATGGTATAATTATTCTAAACATTCTAAACATTCTAATCATTCTAAACATTCTAATCATTCTAATATTTTAATCATTCTAATTACTGAATTATTCTAATCATTCTAATCATTCTAATCATTCTAATTACTGAATTATTCTAATCATTCTAATTACTGAATTGTTCTAATCATTCTGATCATTATCATTCTAGTCATTCTAATTTCAATCATTAATAACATTTACGGAAGAATCTCGTCATAAATTATGAGAATGGCTTAAATATAATCGTTGTTGCCTTTTATAAGTTATATAAATTATTTAATTATAGAATTTTGGAATTTTCGAATATAACTTTTAAGTCTAGTTAATAAGTTATTGAGTTAGTTCCAGTTAATTTTTTTTTTTTGACGGGCTATGTCGATAATTTATTATGTGATAAAAAAGAAAGAACGGAAACAATGAATTGTGGGAAATTTTTTGAGTCGTTGAGGCTTATCTCAAAAATAAAATTATCATTATACAAATCATTTCCGCGTACGACGTAAGTAAAATTACTGTTAAATACGTGTTATTTTGAAGATTATGTTATTTTTGAAGATTATGTTATTTTTGAAGATTGTATTATTTTGAAGATTGTATTATTTTGAAGATTGTGTGTGTAAAATTTACCATACATTGCGCAAAATTGCGTACTAACTTAAAATTTCTTGATTATAATTCTGCTAAAGCCTCTAAAAAAAAAAAATAAAATAAAATAAAATCGATGGATTAAAAAAAAAATAGAGGCGTTCTTACTAACGCTAATTCTTAAAAATTAAAAAAATTAAAAATCAATTTTGGCGGACAAGCCTTCTCACTGCCTCACGTTCATAATCAAAATTTTTTTTTTTTTTGACAAATTTATGTCTCTACTATGATTAGTATTAATTTAGATACATTTGTGTAAGCCTTTCTCGCTCACGTTTTGAAAATTCGCGTGGCTTTTTAAGGATAATAATACACTTAATTAAATAGTAAATGACGCGACTTTAATTATGATCATAAGCCCCACCAAAAACGCGAGTGAAAGGTGAAAAGCCTCTTTACGCCTCTGTTATGCTAATAACCAATAATAATTAAT